ATGTGAATAGATACATGAGAAAGATCTATTTATTCATTTTGAATAGAATTTTATTAAAAATATTTTCAATTTATACATTTGCACATTTCACACACAAACTGGAAATAAATTCCACATTAACAAGGTGGATAATGTAAGAAAAAATCAGATCCACATAGTTTAAAATATGCCTCAGCATATATATAATCATTTCACACATATTATATAACAGGAACACAAAATATTTCAACATTTTAAGACAATTACAGAAGCAATGACATGTTCCATATCTCATCAAACAGTTTTGAAAAAACTGTCATCAGTAAATTGCATTGAAAAATTACAATTAGCACCTTGTGAACTACAAATGACTTATCATTGAGCAAGATTCTTTTCTGGCATACTCAAGCAAAAATATAACTGAAAACACAAATATGTACATATTCATAGTTGCAAAATTTCTTTTTTAAAACCTTGGAATTTAATAATCAAACAGCACAAAATACATGAAAATATTTAATAAATCACATTAAGTATAAATGTTAAAATAATATGTTAAGAATGGCAGCACATGTATTGTTTAAAAAACAGTCGAATAAATTTTATTTAAACTTCTTTTATGAAAATTAACACAGTAGAACTGTCTCAATTCCTCTCTTAACCTTAGAATGTTAATATGTATCACATATAAGCTAATTTTAAATATTCATTTAATTTCTCATTTTAATTTGCTAGCCAAACAATTAAACACATGCTTGGATGAGCTACTGATTTAGAATGCAAAAGAAACCTTATATTGAGCCAGGATTATTTAAAACTCAAATTGCAAATAAATTTTGTGAATACATGTATATGGAATGCATACTTATGGAAAAAAGTACTAAGAAATGTGGAGCAAATTTTTAACTTTAGAAAAAAAATTTTATTCGAGTAAATTTTTACTGCCAGTGAGAAGAAAATTGGCAAAAGTAAAATAAAAATACCTAAATAGACCTAAAGTCAATTACTGAGAAAACAACTAAATGCTTAAAATGAAACAACAACTGATTTGCTTATTTCAAATAGAAATTATTTTGAAAATATTGCTACTAAGATATACAAAAAAATATAAGGCAACCAACCATCTTCAAAAGTATATGAGCTAGTAAATTGCACTATAAGCATATGAAATTAATATATTTCTTATAGAATATATATAATTATTAGGCTGTCAATAATTTGCCGCGTGTATTAATTTCTCAACATATTAGATTTTTTAATAATTTAAATTCTTATGTTTTGCTTTAATAAGAACTTTTTTGTACGTAATTCCTTTATGCATTTCTAGACTAATTAAACCATTATTTATTTATGCACTGCAATTAAAGATTTATCAAAAGTGAGAAGTATTTTTTTAACCTATACCTTTTTATAAATGTAAAATTTATATACTATTAATAACAGAGAAAATTCTTAATATTCTAAGATTAACAGTAAAGTTCTGCCACACATGTTTTATATCAATCAATCATTTAAAAAACTAAAAGGAAGCATTTATTAGAGGCTAACAGTAGTTCTAATTTTTGAACCCACTTTTATGTACATAAAATTTACACATTGTTATTAATAATGATCCCCAGCGAAAAATATTTTGAACATAAAAAACTAAAAGGAAGCATTTATTAGAGTTCAACAATAGGTCTAATTTTTTTAACCCAAAACTTTTTTATGTACATAAAATTTACATATTTTTAGTAGTAATACAGACAAAATTATTTTACTACTTTTAAGATAATCAGCTACCAAATGGTTCACAACTTGCGGCAAACTCTCGCATAGCTACTAGCACATTAATATTAAGAACTAGAATACAAAAATTACAATAGGAAGTAGGATAAAAAATTGGAATAGGAATAAATTCACCTTAAGAAGAGCACATTTATTTTAGATAAAAGCTTGATGCATTCTGAAAGAATCTGATTCAGGTGCAAAATTGCCCATTATTCATATCCCTCCATTAAAACATTTGTAAACTAAAATTTAGAATTGGAAACAGCTTTCAAAATTGAGTCACTTGAAATGGATACAGTCAACAAGTGACTTTTAGCCTCCCCCCAAAGTTACATTACATTAAAATATGAAATACTTACTCAAACAATAATAAAGAAATTATCCTAACTTCGAGGTAACAACTAGTGCTTATATACCGTACTCATCAAATCTTATACAAATCCAAAACATATACAAATCATGGAATTATTTATTTTTACTACAATAAAAAATATGTCTTTAAAATTGTATTAATTTTAACATGTTCAAAAGGAAGAGCAAAGTAAAGTATGGCCTAGTTTGACATGGAAATAGATTTCCACGGAATGCCAAATTATTAAAAAAGTGAGAAAATATGCCAGTTTTACATGCTGTTCCATTAGTTTAATAATCAGTCTAATAGGTTCTAAACTATTTTCAATATATATAACAGCATTATGTTGAAAACTTTCAAAAATAAAATAAATGTTCATTAACTAAGAAGTAACTGTAATCCTTTAACAAATAATAACCCCCTTTTATTTTCTTTAAATTCTTTTGCTTTACATACAGAGCTTTTTTTTCCCTTACTTAATATTTTCCTTCCAGTACCTAATTTTCTCAAACTAGGCATACACATAAAAAAGAGAAAGTAATTCTTATTGTAATTAAATTTCAAGATTAAATTTATCAGCTGTCAGACAAACACACATAAAATACAATACTAAATACCTGGAATTATTACTTATGAAACAAATACGAAAAAGAACACTTAATAAAGTAGTGTTCATCCGTTTTTCTACCTTAAAATTCAAACTTGCATTTAATACACATTTATCTGAAAAACATGATAGGTAACTGAGTTATTAAAAAGTGACTTGAATGAAATGAGAACTTGAATACTATTATATTCAGCACAGTTATTAAATACACAGAAATATACTGGAACACTAACTAAATATGCAACTTCACACAGATATACAAAAATGAAATTCATCATTCATTTCATCATATACATACATAACAAAAATTCAACATTATTTATACATAATTTGATAAGAATAATAAAAGATCCAAAAGTTCTGAATTATGCAAAACTGCATATCTCAATCACACCAAAACATCTTAAAAACTATCAATAGTTAAAAAACACCTCATAAAATTAACTGTCTACAATGAATTTTTCATATTTTAAATTACAAAGCAATAAAAATTGTAATATAAAATTCTAAAAAATCTAGATTACAGAGGAGGAGAGGAATTATAAAAGACAAGCCTTATATTTACACACATTTCTCAATATCAAACCAAATGCTTTTAGATTTTTTTACAAAATTATATTTAATACATAAAGCATTATAAAATATATCTATGCACACATAATACTAAAGATTATCAGTATGTACCACTGCATATAATTTTGAAATGAACCTGAAATATTGGTGATGGATTTATAAATGATACAAATTTTCCTAAAAGAATAAATTTTTAACTAAAAAATTCTAGCACTGAATTAAACCAATTGTATTTTATATAGATGGACAATTATTTTTTTAACTCCATCAACTTATTAAGCATAGAATAACAAGTTTTACTAAAAATATTTTTTTTTAATTTATAAATTTTTTGATTACTTTAAACTATATTAATTTTAAAATTATCATATTTATTAATATTAGGTCACTACATATATATAAAATATACAAATATATTTCATAATACTGCAAAATTTCTGCCTCTCCAAATATTTAAGTTACATAATTATTTTGGAAAGATCTGTGCAGTTTTAACTTTTCCAAATATTATTACATGATAATGGATAATGCCTTTTTATTACAAATGAATTCATTTCATTCCAGTAAACAATGTTTTTAATATGAAATTTATGATATTACACATGCTGTGCCATAACATTTAAGATGATTTAATAACATATGTATTTTTCAACTTTCAGTATTCTAGGATTAATGAATGAAACAAGAAGCATGGTAATGTAAAACTTATTATTATGCAAAAAGCAATCTTATTTTGATGCAGATATTAAACTATTAATTTTGAAAGATAATGTTTTATTTCACATCTAAGCCAAAATAAAACAGCTGTTTTGCTTTCAGCAAAAATATTCTAATACAATTCAAACTCTTCTTTTTTTAGAATTTACAAATCAGTTTTAATCACTTATATGAATGTACTTAGCTATTATAGATTTAGATATCAAACTAACAAAATGCTAAATAACAGCACTGTATTTCTAGGAAAACATTACAGTAAAAGATTTCAAGAAAAGAGCATCACACTTTAATTACTGATATGGATTAATATCAAAATCATACTATGTTTGCACTGTTACAAATTAAGGACATGGTGGCCAACAACAATGCATTGACCATACTAGAAAAAACGTTTACTAGAATGTAAACTTTTTTCTCTTCAATTCCATATTCATATAAAATTCCAATCATTCATTCAGCATATTCAGTGAAATAAAACTGGAACAGAAATCTCTATAAGAGAGTAAAATTAACATTTTCAAAGCTGTGCTAAAAGCCTTTACTTTAAAACAAATTTAAAATGAGAAAATGAATTTTAATTACAAGAAAAAAAATACATACTGACATTAAATACTGTTCACATATTTTTAAAAGTTCAAGAAATATAATTGTGGAGCATAATAAATGTTGTAAACGAGAAAGTAAGTCCAAAGAGAAAAGAGAATTTGCAGCTAGATGATTATCTGTTTAAAGTTATTTCTGAACACATCTGAATACTATTGAAAAAAAATATGAAAACATATCTTATATCTTCTAAAAATTCACAGAAATAATTTGGGGGGCGATTTTATAGTATTATCAATGAATAACAGAAGAGAAATTTTTCTCTGTCTATATTAACCCTTTGCACTCGAGGTCTTTTTCGCTTGCGCGAACCAGCAACTCAAGACGATTTTGGCCAAATTCGGCAAACACTTTACAAGTACTTTTAAAAACATTTATAAACAACAATGTATATAAATAATAAAATTTCCCCAGTTTATTCATTTATATGTCAAAAACAACAAAGTTTGATAAATATTACACTCTGTAATTAGTTTTGGTGTGATATTTTGTAACTCTCAATTTCACTGTCACTCTCTATAATTCTAATTTTCAGTCGTCTCGCACCTCTTACTGCATCACTGGATTCATTCGTTTCGCGGTGTAATCTGTTCGAAATCTGTCGGTAAGTTCATCATCCAAAGCAGCAAAATCGAATTCGTCTAAGTCGAGCTGATCTGATCTTCCTCCATATTTTTCGGACTCAAACACTTTTTAGTTACTATATTTACTGCCAAGACTATTTCAAGTGAATGCTACGGAGACTAACTAAACTGAGCTAAGATTTAGCTACAGTGTCAGCGGATTTTAGTCCACGAAAGTACTTCTGAGAAAAATATCTTGTTGCACATCGTAAATAAGGAGATCAAGTTACAAAAGACCATAGTATCGCACGATTTAAGACTTCAAATCACTCGGGTGCCGCTCGAGTGCAAAGGGTTAAATATACTGATATTAATTGGTATATCATTATTATATATACACACACAAACTAATTTTTCAATGCATAATAGCTGCTCGCCTTTGTTAGCGTTTTGGTGTTTCCTAACTCTGTTTTAAATGGAAAAATATTTTAAAAGTTTAAATATTTAGTAATTAAAATGATTTAGCTATTTGTTTAAAGCTATGCTATTGATTTTCCATTTAAAAATAGTGTTTATTTACAGGATTTTTAAGCCATGATAAATATGGAATGAAATTAATTAAATATAATATCATTAATTTTTAAATACTTTCTTTATTTCTAACATAATTGACAATAATGCAATGAAGTTTCTTAAAGCTACATTCAATCAATTAATGATATATTAACTGAATTACAATACTTAAGCAAACAATCTTAAAAATTCTTTATTTACAACTTTTTGGGAAATAAGTTTATATAATATGTGTAACACATATTTGCTTATCTTTTAACTTTTAAAAATATATAATGCAGTATGTCCTTTCACAACTATGCTAAAATTATATGTAACTTAATATTTAGCTTTAAAGATTTCAAGCTTAAGCGGGATTAATATCAAAATCATACTATGTTTGCACTATTACATGTTTAAGGACTTAAAGGTTAACTGGCATATGGTACTAAGTCCGAAATCCAGACCTCGAATATCCAAAATGATCTAATATATCCAGACCACCAGCCAGAAAATAACTACAAAATAAAATAATCCCCCACCTTTATAAAGTCTAAAAATGGAGAATACAGCAACATAAGGAAGCAGGTGTACTGTAAATGAGACTTTTCTCTGGATTAAAGGAGATTCCTGCATATCACTTTCAAACATCTGCTAGCCAAAGAGTCACATAGTAGCCAATAACAATGCATTAATTCACCTTGAACTGATAATGGCTTGGATCACACATTTTTAAGGTTTGAGTGGCTGTGGAGGCGGATGGCTGGTGCTCTCCTAAACTCTAAATGTGATCTCTGATCTCTCTAAATAACCATCTCTGATTTTTGATGTTTTCCTAATTTGTGCTCCTCTAAATTCAAAAATGTTTGCTGCTCTTAAATTCTGACAACCAGTGCAGCCACAACAGTTGCACTTGCTCTGGCACTAGCCCTGAGATTGGTTAGCATTCTTTTATTGAAAGAATAAGTGAAGTCCTAATGTTGCCATGTCTACAACTCATCTTACTAGATTTAAACTGATCTAAAATCCAGACATTTTTTAAATTCAAAACTGCCAAAATATCAGCGATTCTGGATCTCAGACACTGTACTGATAACATCTGCTTTTAGAAGTACTCAGTACACTTAATTATAATGCATACTACATAACTACAAGAACATACTCCAATTGCTCAAAAAAATTCTGACAAACATATTATTAAAAAAAAAAAAAAAAAAAAAAAAAAAAAAAAAAAAGATTATACAAAATTCTAATACAACTGAATTACAAACATAAGTGAAAACATTTTTCAAAATGAAATATTACTTCCAATAACATACAACATACTTTAAACAAATATCACAGATGTCTTCCAAACTTTTAACAAACAACCGAGTTCATTGTAAATTTAAGAGAACAGCCTAAGTATTAAAAAGCAAAATTATACAAAAAGGCTACAATTGATTATGATACCCTGTCAATAATTCCTACTTGTCATTGATATGTAATTACAAAAAATATAATACATGGCAAATGAAAGTTTTTTTTAATACAAGAATCATATTTCTTGAATAATAATCCTTCAACTATGTTATGAATAAATGTATTATTCATGCTTCATAGATGAGTAAAAAAGTTCATGTTTTGAAAAAAAAAATTTAATAAGTAGTCCCCCTGCCTACAAATCTGACCTTTCTAAAAAAATCTGAATACTAAAGACTGACAAATAAACACAACATACAGTATGAAATAATGAATGAAATAAATCAAATACAAATTTTGTGGAGCATAGCTTTCTCATTTTTAAAGCTGTCTTACAACTATGATAATTCATTTAAGTCAAATACAAGAATGCTTAAATAATACAGAAATTTCACAATTTTTAATCATTATGATGATAATAAAGGAATAAGTAAACGAAAGATTACTTAAGTTTTTGCACAACGTAACAATCATGTGGTTACGACTTTCAATTATAAACATAATAAATAATTAGGATAACATATTAAATTTTAAAAATCATATAAAATACATTAATGTGCATATATTATACATTAATATTATTAGTGAAGCATTATGTGAACAACAAAGAATAATTTTCTTATTGTAATGATTTAACTATTAAACTACAAATTAGTACTAAAAAAATTCAACATTAACACTGCCTTTCTTTACTTCTACACCTGTACTTGACAAGTGATGTAAACAGTAAGCAGACCATGTAATGCATTAATAATATTTCTTTTTAATTACTTATTTCATGTGAAAAAAACGGATTAATTTTTATTAATTTTATAATATTTTTTCAATATTATATATTATTTCTGTAGCATATTTCTCTTCTTAACACTAAAACTTGGTTGACTAGCTGGCTGTCGATTAGTACTTTTTTTAAGATCATATCTAATGGCATCTCTCATTGACTGTACTGGGTAAGACTCACTTTCCCATTCAGCCGTATCCTCCTCCCAATATTTATTCTTACCTAAAGGCTCATCTTCATTTTCAGAATCACTCCAACTAACATGCTCAATTTTGCTGCTTTGAAGTGATGTCTGAGTCTCGCATGGACGAAATTCGTTATTATTTGAAGGAGATATAATATTTGGCGATTGAGAAGCACCTTGTAAAGCTCCACAGACAGGTTCATCAATAGGACTTACAACAGAACCACAGATACCAAAGGATCCAGAAACACTTGATTTTACTTCATAATCTGGAACATTTTCTCTTGGAGGCACTTTAAAATTCTTTAAATTAGAAAAAAAAATGTTTTCATTTAAAGAATCATTTATTTGATGTTTCTGATTTGGAATAATATTTGTAGCTCTACTTCCAAAACTTGATAAACTACTTTCTTTATTATCTAAGGCATTTGGGCAAGACACTTCTGTATGGGATACAGAAACCTCACTTTGCAAAACTGGAGGTTTGGGAGGTGGTATTATGGTATCTCCACCAAAACCCAGCTTAGCCAAAGGACTGTCATCTTTATAAAGTTCATTCACAGGAAGTACAAGACTAGCACAGATTCCAGGTGGTCCAGAATTAGTTGACTTTTTCTCCTGAGTTGGAATGCTATTTGTTGGTGGAGGTATTGGACAATCTACTACATGAGAAGCTGAAGAAACATGAGCATAACTTTCTTCAGCAGCTTCAGTGTAATTCTGTGCAAAAGAATTAATATTTCCAGAATTATTGTTCATATGATGCATACTGGGTATCTGAGCATGTGGGGGATAGCACGGATATGCAGTGGTTGGAATGCCTTGAGACCTATAATAAAGATCCATTGCTTGTAACTGAGTGATGAAAAAAGGATTACTCAGAAGCATTTGTTGCATAAGGAGAGGATTTATGCCAACTAATGGCATCAAATGAGCTCCCAAAGGATTTAAAAAGGGAGCTGTTCCAGTAGGTCCAAATGATGAAGGCTGAGAAATATTTGGTACTTTAAATTGTGAATTTAGCATATCACCTGTAAAGCTATCTGAAGCACTATTTTGTTCACTTCTTAACTCACTTGCTGATGATATATCAGATTTTTGCAAATGTTTAGTATAGTCTACAGCATTACCACTAGGTAAAAATACAGTTTCAAGATTAAAGGCACTTTCATTACCCTTAAAAGATTCCGATGTAACACATTCTATTGGAGAAATATCTTTAGCTGCTTTCAGTGATTCTTTGGAAGATATAACTGAGGAATTTTGTTCCAAATTAATATTATGTATCCCAGGCAAAATTCTAGAAGTTTGATCATTCCATGCAACAGTATTAGAAATTTTTTGCTCAAAATTATCAAACACACTAGAACTGTTACTACTTTTAAAAAAAGAATCATTCAAAATATTGCTCCCAAGTTCATTATTACTTATATTAACTGATTTTCCTGTTGTTTCATTATGTTCATGTTTTAATTTTGCTTCACTAAATGGATGCCGATAGAAAGTTTCAGAGATATCTGTTTTGTCACCATGTTCAGAAATCTTATTTTCTATTAAAATATTATTCTCAAATGAATTGCCTCTATCTATATATTCAGCATTTGGAATTTTATCACCTTCCTTCAAAATATGAGTGTCATACTGGCCTCCTCCCGATGTATCATCCCACTTACTATGTAGACCTTCACACTGTTTCTCTACTTTTTGACTTTCAGCAACGTCCCATCCACTAACATTTAAATTATATACTCCAAAATTGCTCTTCTCCTTCAATGTCTGTGTTTCAGTTTCAGTAACATCCCATTCACTGTCTTTTGACTGATAAGTACTAATTTTAGAACTATCCCATTCACTGTTCTTTGACTGATAAGTATCAATTTTAGAACTATCCCATTCACTGTCCTTTGACTGATAAGTATCAATTTTAGAACTATCCCATTCACTGACCTTCGGCTGATAAGTATCAGTTTCAGCAACATCCCATTCACTGTCCTTCGACTGGCAAATAGCAGTTTTAGAATTCTGCCATTCACTATCCTTTGATTGAAAAGTATTATAAGAGTCCTTCCTCTTCAAATGTTGCTTCTGCTTTTCATTTCCTAAAGTATCCCATTCACTACTCTCTAATTCACAAGCTTTACTCTCTTTGAATGCTTGCTTTTCAGTCTCTTCACTTCCAGATTCATCCCAATCTTCTAATTTGCTGTTACATGGTTCATATGTTTTATTATTTTTTGCGATTTTTGAACCTAGCGTTTCATTTTTAAAAACTTCATTACCAAAAGCTTTTGAATTTTTTTTATTATAATTTTTGGTATGATCTGACCATTCCCTTTCCTCTGATGATGATTTATATTCATTTATGATCTCTGCATCCCAGTCATCTTCCACTTTATATGCATCATGAGAATTAGAAATGGATTTCTGATCATATTTTGGGGTTTTTGTACCTGATTTCTGAAAATTAGTATCTTTTAAGCCCCATCCACCAAAAGTATCAATAATTGCATTATATTTTGGTTTTGCACCAGCATACGATGCTGCTTTGTTTCCTTTTTGAGTACATAAAGTAGATGCCTTTGTAGATTTTTTCTCATTCCATAAACTATTTTTATCTTCATCATCAGTATTATCCCAACAATCTTTTGTAACTTCAGTGGTTGACCTATTATAGTTGGTACTATCCCAGCATTTTATTGCAACCTCAGGAGTGGATTTATTACTTGTATCCTCCCTAAATTCTGAGAAATATTCTGGATTTGACTGCAGCAGTTCCATCTGGAGTTGATATTCTTCTTCAAGTTTCCTGTAAAAAAATATTTTAGACACTAATCATATGATCCAAAGATCTGGAAAGATTATATTACAGAGAGATGCATAAACTAACTTTGAACTACTTACTTGAAAAACACATTGTTAAATATAAAAATGATAATGAAATATATATTTATCTTTCAAACATTTAAAAGTAACTGATCCTGATATATGAGGAGTTTATTTATTTATTTATTTATTTTAAAGATTTTTACAGTTTTCATCCTTATCAGAATTACAATAAAAAGGACATTTGGAACAAACTTTTCCACTCGTTTTCCATACTCGTTTCAGTAAAAAGTTACTAATGTCTACAATAGGCACCACTTAATGTAATCACATTTATCTATGGTTATTTTGATAACATTAAAAACAATGAGAAAAAATACCTTTCAAATTAGCAATGGAATTTAACTAATTTAATATAAAAATCACTAAAACATATAAATAGGTACTTTCACAAAATTTTAATTAAGAAAATACAAAAGTTCAAATATGAAATCTTCATACTGCTTCTGGAAGTTAATTGACTGATTCTGTACCTTTGTGATCTTAATACTTGGATGACACCCTTAATAGGAAGAGAACATGTCAATGTAAAATTTAAATTGGGGGGGGGTGCTACCTTAGAATGGCAGGGATGCTTTCAGAAAAAAATATTGCTCTTCGGGAAAGGGGGCAAAAAAGAAAGGGAGAGATAGAGAAAGACCTGTGTCTGACCGCTCTTAAATTTGTTAGATTTATTGAAAATCTATGTCAAACTAAGGTTGATTTTTGCCTAATTTTAAACAGTTGACTAAAATTGAAACCAAGCTGTTTGCCAGTTTAATCATTTACTTGGTAATTTGTATAATCTATTTTGAATTTATTTGGTGACTTCAGTTTAAAAAAATATATTCTATAATATTTTGATCACATTAACTGAATTGTAGATTATTGTGAGTGATGAAGATATTTCTGATATAAAAATGGGCAGCACTTCATCAATTCGATAACAGTATCAGAATGATAACATTTATCATGTGGGATAACATTACTAATGTGGGAAAAGGCCATGCAACTGTATGTATGATTTTTACTTTCGCACGCCATACAGACAAGAATGCAGACGATGACCGATGCAGACTTTTGATGCTGTGATGATTCTTCTTCTTTTATAATTTTTTTATTTATGTAAATAAATTGTATTTTAGTAACAACTCGATGAGGATTGGTAATGTTTATTAGTGATGTTTTTCTTATATAAATTTTGGTACCAAAGGTATTAAAGTTCTTGTCCTATAACAAAATTCCTTTTGATTCCATTGATTATGCAGTATTCTTTTTATTAACGGCTCTGGATTGGATTCTTAAAACTACACTTGGATTAGCAATGTTCATTTTCAAGAGGTACAAGTGAGCATTTTACATTCATAACTTTTGTTTGAATGTATAATTCTTTAAAGTACAAAAAAACAAGGCTTCTAAAGAAAATTGAAAACGAACATTTGAAAGAAGTAATACTACTATACTAATTTCAAGAACTGAATCTGCCTTAACAGATGAAAATTTTACATGCAATATCTCAGAGAAACATCTGGTAGTTTTAGCTGAAAAAATTAATAAATTAAAATCCTTAGATACTCAAATTGAACAGTTAATCGATGTACGCTTAATGGAAGAATTAAGCACTAGTACTGATTATCAAGAAAAATGAGTCAGGCATAGTTACTAACTCATCGATATCTAAAAAACTGTTAAGTACTTTGAATGACAGCTTCAATTTATCCTCTTCAATTATCCTAAGTTAATACTCAAATCATATTCAGGGGACCCAAAATATTGGAACGAATTTTGGAATTCATTTCAAAGCAGCATCAATCGCAATGAGTCAGTTCCGAAAATTGAAAAATTTGCCTATTTAAAAAAATTCTTGACTGGAGAAGCATCGAATGTAGTATCTGGTTTTAAGCTAACTGAAAAAAATAATTAAAAATTATGAAAACCATGCAAATTTACTTAAAGATAATTTTGTTTGCAAGTTTTAAAGTGTTAAAAATTCTTCAAATGTTCCAGTTTTTATAAAGTTATATGATGAGCTCAATATCACTATACAAAATTTAGATTCAATGCAAGAATATTTAAAATATTATGGTCCATTTTTGACCTCAATTGTTCTAAATTTATTGGCAGAAAATCTTGTTTTAGATTTTAAGTGAAACACAAATACAAAATGTGATGTTACAATTTCTTCAATTCAAAATGTGATTTTTTATTTGTGTGACTGAGTGTTGCAAATCAATAGTTTCAGTTTTACATGACATTTAAAGCTTCTCAATTTCAATAATTACCAGACATCCAAGTGTTGTAAATGTAATGGATTTGGGTCACATCAATCAAATTTAAAGTCCCCAACTTACTCCATAAAGTAATCAAAATTAAGGATATATTCCTTATAACTATTCAATAATTACCAGACATCCAAGTGTTGTAAATGTAAAGGATTTGGGTCACATCAATCAAATTTAAAGTCCCCAACTTACTCCATAAAGTAATCAAAATTAAGGATATATAGTTGATACAGGAAGTGAACTGTCAGGAGTGATATTTTCTGGATTTAGAACTATCTATAGATTTTGCCAACTGTTAGTTGACTGATGACTAGGGCAATGTCATCATAATGAAAAACTTGTTTTTAATTGCATTCATTTATTATTTTCATTTCTTCTGTTTGTCATCTTCATTTATTACCACTTTTCCTCATTTCTTCAAAAATTCCAGTAATTAGAAAATTTCACTCTTTTTTTTTCTTTTTTTTTTTTTTATACAAATATGAAAAGCATCAAGTTTGCGGTTATCATCATAAAGCTTCACTAGCATCCACTATACACTATTGGCAATGCATCATGAGATTGGCAACTAGACATGTTGTTCCACAAAATTTTGCCATTTGTATTCCACACTAACAAAGTTAAAAGTAAAAGTTAAGTTTAATTATTTATAATATCTAGACGTGCTTTATGCACAGGCTTATCTGAATCCTGGGAAAACTTAAGGCAAACACTTAAAGCTTATCCAGATTTAGTATTATACATTTTGCAAACCTTGCAGTCTCAGTCTGTCCTAAATTTTGCTGACAAGCACTTCCATAAAATACTAAAAATTTGGCATTGCAGTGCTTTGCCTAAATTCTAAAGATCTTGCTATAATTTAAGTTTATTACTTTGTGCTTCTCGAAATTCTAAAAATTCTGCCTCCCCTTCTCGGAATAACTAATCAGTTATTTTCAATTCCAACAGCACAAATTGTTATCATTTGGCTCATTAAAAAAAATCTATCTTTTGCATATGGAAACAAATTTCTGTTAAATTTCACCTCATCAACACTTTCAACACTTCACAGTGCAGTTAATTAAATCTGTTATCATTAACAGCCTAATCTCTACATATAATAAAAGAAAGAGTCTGTCTGTGTGTGTGTCTTTCGTTCATGCTGCGCGTAAGCTAATAGACCCACGGCTACGAAATTTGGTACATAGGTACATCTAGACAAGAGCCAGTGCACCTCGAAACGATTTTTTTCGAAATTCGAATTAGAATTTTTAAAATTTTATGTTCTGTGATGAAATTGCGTCATTTTGGGACATAATGGGCTATAAGAAAGCGAGATTTTACTCTACACACTCCATTTTTACATCGTCATGAAACGTAGGCACTTAGCTATTTACGAACTTAAAATAAATTTCGTGTTTCAATAAATTTAAATACTTAAATACGAATTTATTTAACAAAGTGAGCTTAACACCTTTTCAACGGGATTTTTTTTTCTAAAAAAGTTTAAAAAAGTACAGTTATTTTTCTTTGGTTTTTGGACACGTTAAACTTTCAGCCTTGCGACTGCTTTACAAAAAAAATTTTGGAAAAAAAATTATATATTTTGTATTTTTAAAAGATTTTTTAAATGAAGCTTCCGAGTACATTTCTCACATCTCACTCTTTTTAAAGTGTGATTTTGGCACACAATTTTCTGTCTTATTGTTGTGATAGATTTTTGATGAAATCACATCATTTTGAATAGTTTCATTCTTTTAGAAATATGGGTTTGGCAACAATTTTTATGTCACTGTTTTTAAGAGATTGGCATATTTCATTGTCATTTATATATATATATATAATACATTTTTATTTTATTTATTTATTTATTTATTTATTTGATAAAGTTGTTCTGCAGAGTAAAATTCTGCACAGAATTTTATGTTTTTTGAGTAGCTTTCATGTTATTTTTTGCTTATTTCACTGTTTGTAAGATATTGAAAAGTTTTGCATGATTTTTTTTCTTCATCGGAAAGTTGGTTAATTTTTTTATTAGGCTAATTAATATTTGTATAAGAGATATAGCTTATTTCATTGTAATTTTTTTCTCTTGAAAATATAAGATAAAATATCATTAATTATACTTTGCTTTTCAGAATTTTTTCGTTTTTTGCATTCTTTTATGTTATTTATTGTCATTTCACTGTTTTAAGATATTGAAAAGTTTTGAGTGATTCTTTTAGGAACAAAGTTTATAACCTCCTTTTACCATTTGAGTTCTTAAGATTTTGCAAAAGGAAGTTGGTAATTTATTTATTAGGATAATAATATTTGTATTAAGGGATATTGCTTATTTCATTGTAATTTTGTTATACGTAATAAATTTTTTTATGAAGTTGTTCTACAAAGTAAAATTCTATGCAGTTTTTAAATTTAACGTCTCCAGCCATTTTTCCGGTGCATTTAAAAGCCAGACAAAGGCTGGCAGCAAAGCCGCAAAAGATTACCATACTCTTTGGTATTCAATTACTAATATTTAAAAAAGAAATGTTCAGGTATTGCTGCATCTCAAGCTGCAGTATGTTTATAGTCATTCCCCCCATGAAAGCAAAAATTAATAAACAATAATACTCTAGACTGGTATTAGGGATATAAACTATTCAGTAGGTGCGTTTTAATGTAAAATGCTTTGGTTTATGATGTATGTCAAAAAAAGATGAAAAGGTGGCTATGGACCTAATTATTCATCATACTGATTTTGCTACTAAATCATTGTTTCTTCATTATGAAAGTATTTTATTTAATGCGAAGTAAAATTAAATTTGGGTCTGTTCATATGTTTTTTCATGAAAAAATATTAAATGTGCATGCATAAAGCATACAAATAACTAAATAAGTACCTTAAAAAAGATGGAAGATGGCTAGTGGTCTAAAGATCCAGATTTTAGATCATTCCTTATATTGTACATCCAGATTCTGGAATTTTAGTGTGTAAGTTTTCCCAAGAAATGTCATATTTTTTAATTTCCAATACAATTTCCAAATAAACTGTCCTGCAATCATATGACTTAAGGTTAGCTTTAATACAGAGCAAATCTTACCAATTTATGAAATATCTGAATGATTTATTTGAACTAAAAAAAAAAAAAAAAAATTTGAAGTAAATAATGAGTGCACATTTTATAAATCTGCAAATTTTGGATTTGAGAAAACAAAGAATTTAGAGTTTGAGCTATACCCAGATCGTAATCAGCCCTGTAATTTCATTTTGTTATATTCTGACACTTTTATGCTGAGATAATCCTGAGTAAGGAAGAAAAACTTTAATTTTTTAAATACACCTAAGTAAAATTAAAAATTAATGTTCAAAACAATTGTGTGGATAGCAAACTTAGCAATTTAGCATTTATTAATGTAAAATAAAGCTAAGTACAATGTTAAATGATCAAACATTAATTGATCTTTTAAAAAGTTCTACGTTTGCGATAGATAAAGACAATTCAGATTAAATAAAATTTAATACGAAAAATTCCACTGAAAATCACTAGAGCAGGAGTGAGGGGATTTCATAGTTTCAGAGGGGGGATGAGGTCAGCTTTTTATTTACCTGTTAAGTATTTAATTTTAGTTTACAAACATAAAAAACTATTTTTATTCAAGTTTCGGTATTTATTAACATATTCTATACTTTTTCTTATAGAAATTAGGAATACTAAACCTTGAATTTCTTGTGTAATTTATAAACACTTTAAAAAATTATCTAAACTTATAAACTGTACATGCATTTTTCGAAATTTTGGAAAGAAGAGGGGAGGATCATTTAGCAAGGTGAAAGGGGTGCATGGTTCAGAAAAGGTTAAGAACTACTGCACTAAAGGGTGAGGGCATGGAATTTGAACAAAAATTTCATTTATTGCCAGGAAACATTTTTCTCGGGAAAGGCTAAAAATTAAAGACAGGGAAATTCAGTGATCTACCAGGGGTCTGGGAGATGTGATAAGTCGGTAGCTAAGATTATGTTCATTTTGTCAAAGTATAAATTCATGTTATATTTAATAAATGTCATTGAGGAAACTTTTTACTGATTCTGCAGTGCTTAAAAGTGTCTACATATAATATTTTAGTCACTTTAGGTTATGTGATATCAATCAAAACTAATTTTTGTGCTGTTACAGTCTGAGATAACCCCCCCCCCAAAAAAAAGCAAAACAAATTCCTTATCTCCCCAGCTAAGGATTAGTATTCTAAAGCTGAAATATTATAATGCACCATAAGCAAACACATCTGCATTCATTACAGCAGTTCACTAGTCATTTCAAAAGTAAAACTTTTTATAATAAACTACTTTACTAATGTTCCCAAGAAAAATAACAAAATAACAAAACAATTGCTAACAATATTCTAATTTCAGTAAATCAGATATTCTTTCTCTGGTAATGAGATTGGAATTCTACTAAAAGTACAACTTCAACTCCCTCCAATTTAATATGCTTAACATATAAGAAAATCAATATGAAAGGAAACTAACTTCCGACGTTCTTCAGCTTTCATGGCTTCAGCCTTGCTTAATTCTATGGCTTGCCGAATCATAAATTCCTCTTCAGTTTCATTTGTAGGTTCCATAGCTTTCACTTCTTCAGTATGTATCAGCCTCTTCACCCACACATTCACAACTGGTGGCGGAGCTTCAACAGCACCTGTTAGTATTTACAAAAGTTATATCACAAAGCTTCCCATTAAAGAAAAAAAATTTGAAAGCGTTCAAATATTTTTTTTTTTTTTTCTTAATCTGAAGGCCTTCAGATTTTACATTATGCCCAAAGGAGCATTTTTGTTTTTTTTTTTTTTTTTTTTTTTTTTAAACGTTTGTGTGTTACCTTTATTGATTAATATATGCTTTTCAATTAACCATAAAATCAGTTCAGAGCAATATCACAATATAACTTAAAATAGCATTCTTTAGAATTTTCTGATACACAGTCTCGCACAATGTAGATAATATTCCCCCCCCCCGGACAGTTTGCCTTCTCGCTTTGAAATCGTCAAGTTTTAATCAAAACTTCGTTAAAGTGTCAAAGATGAAATATACAAAAACAAATCACAAATTGGCTTCCGTACCTATTAGTGGAGACTATGTTATTCAAACTGATGGCTAGGGTACCATTGTTTTATCAAATGCGGAAAAACAATATATTATGCAGATTTTTCGTTTTAATTTCTTTTAATATAACACAGGGCGATCATATTTGGTGGCAACAATTTGAAAAGTGAAACAGATTTAAAGTTTTCAAAGCAAAATGCCAAAACGAAATTAATGGCATTTCTGGGCTAATGCCCTTAGGGCTAATAATCAAACAGTATTAACATATAGAAATTTTTTTTTAATTATGTATCAGCCTTTTTTGAATTATGCTTACAAAAAAGAATTTCTTTTTACCGAACAAAGCAAAGATTCATTTACAAGAATAGCACTTCAGTGATATAATCTAACTACAAATACTCTGATGTGAAATTCATTAAAATTTCGGTAGTTTTAATATCTTCAGAAAAAACATAAAAATTTTCCCCTAACAAATTAATAAAAATTATTTAACCTGATTTTAAATTTATAAATGCTTTGATGACAAATGATACACATATACGAACTGAAATGATTACTCATAATTATGAAAGCAGGATATTCAAATTTAAGAAGTATACGGAAAATTAAACAGCGACTCCAAAAATTCAGAATGCACATAATTTCATACTTAATTTCGTAAACTGAAAGCAACAGACAAACGAAAATTTTGATGATTATGTATAAGCATACAAGTGTAAATGTTTTTTTTTTAATATATTTTACCAAGTGGCAACAACAGATTAGTTTTGAACAGTAATGTTTTCTTTGAAGTGTGCATAGTAATTTGGTATTTTCAGTTGTATCGTCTGAGTGTTATGCAAGTAATGTGAGAATAAAGATGTATTAACATAAGTGAAGAATATGTCTTAAAAAAAGTAAGTAAGCTAATACAGTCAAATACCAAAAATCCACGTTGTCTCTCGGAATATAAACATTCAGTTTACAGGTTCCAGAAACTGAAACACTGAGTATGAAATATCGAAGAAAAAAATACTTACCGAATAATGACTATAATACAGAATAATTAGTACAAAGAAAACAATTAGTAGATAAAAAAGTTAAAAAATAGGAAGTTTTTCCCCTCTAATCTGCATCAAGGTAAAAACAGACATTCTCAATTTTTGTTCAATTTCATGATTCACATGTTGATTTCTGGCTTGTTATTTCATTTCACAAGATTGTATTTTAGTGCTGCCTTTTTTAATACCGAAATTTGTGGATACATTAGAATATTTTTTAATTTCAGCCTTTTTTAACACAGACAGAAGAACGCACTCGTGATTTATTTACTCTGGCAACGTGAAAAACGAAAACTACATTTGCATTGACGGAATGACAAACAGGAAAATCTGCTAAAGATTCGCGGTTCCTCAATTTACAGCAGAATGTATGCAATTGCACCGATTGTGTACGATATACAGAAAAAAAAAAAAAGCTGTTGAAATTTACAGCAACGCTATCTAACACCGAATCTTTGCATATGGCGAAATCGGCAAACCTCGTGCTGTTTACATATAATAAATGAACAAACATTGTGACAATTATATATGTATTATAATAATTATATAATAATTTAATACATGTATCTAATATGCCTAGTCTTTTGCACTTTTAGTCGAATAATTATGGATTTATCATCTTTTCTGTCCTGAAATCCGCAAAATCCTAAAATCCGCACAACCTCTGGTCCCAAGCTTTGCGGATTTCTGGAATTCTACTGTACAAGCTTCTGATTAATGCTATATAAAAATGAGATACAGAACAATCAGGAATAGCAACAAGGAACATTCTGTAATTTCATGACAAAATCCTCAAAAAAAAGCCACTGGACACTCCCCCATCCATAAATACATTGTATGTTATTTTTTTCTTTTCATGAATACATTTTCAGCAATATCCTTAATTTCGTCGCAGCAATTAATTTGAACATTTGAATGAGATGACAAAGAATTGTGTATATCTTATGCAATTATTTTAATCCATCATTGTGCTGTCAATCACTTGAAGCAAGCTTTGGCTAACACTCTAATACCATAAGTAGATAAATTACACTGCAGTAAACAAAAAGAAAATGAGATCCAACAAAACACTTTCCTTTCACATGTTTTTCTAACCCAGCATGCAAAAACAATTTTATTATTATTATTTGGGTGAAGAACATCTGTTTCAGGAAGAAAAAGTACAGATGCATCTTTATTTTTGGACAAATCTGAAGAATCTAGAACAACTACAAAAAAGAAAAGAAAAAGATGAAAAGAAAATAGGGCACACAGTTGATGACTGTAAAGGTATTGTTGCCAGGTCAAATTCCAAACCGAACTGGCAACACCTGGCATCAAGAATGGCACTAGGCCTTTCACCACCCAGTGCAAACTCTGGAACTTCTAAATTCTGCCGCACAGTTTCTTCCTAAAGTTTTGGCGCCTGTTGCAAATGCACATGTTCTCTGCCTGGTACCAAGGAAATATGTTGAAAAAAAGTACCAAGTAGTATGGCTTTAACAAAAAAGTACCACACTTTTTTAATAATCGTTTCATCCAACAAAATTATTTTTATCCCCAGAAAACAATTGGGAAATGCAGAAGCAAGGGATTTATTACAAACAAATATATGATATGAAAAAAAAAATCCTGAAAGAAATTCCAAAATGGAAAATAACGAAAGAATAAAACTACAGAAACCTTTGAAATCATAAATAAGCACACTTGTGAACAATGACATCAAAAAATCTGGCTGTAACAGTACAGCAGCTAAAAAGAAAACTTTACCAGCTTAAGAAATATAAGTAAGCCTTTAAACTCTCAATTTTTCTGGGGAAAAAATATATGTTCACTTTGCAACATATTTAACTTGGTATATGTCTTATTTGGATGCAAAATTTTTTGTTTGGTATACAGCTTTCTTTAGAAAACAACTCAAGTTTTATAAATCACAATTGCATGCACTACATTTGTTCGTTTCTTTCGAGATGATGCTATGACTCACCTTTTACTACTATTCAGTAAACAATATGCACTATAACTCTGAATTTTCAAGCAATTCTCTATTTTCTCATAAAAGTTTTGTGAACTCATTAACAATGAATTTTAGAAAAGTTAATGAGGAGTTAAGCAATGAAGAAAATTGCTAAGATCATAAAGACGAAAAAGAGATTATTGAAAAGTTGTTTGCTGTTTCTTTCAACATTACTGGTTCCCATGCTGCATATGAATACAAATCTCAGTGTTTATTTCTACATGAAACCAAAGGCATGAAAGGTATATGATGCAGGATGACCACAGAAACTCTATCAGTAGCAAATCTCTCCTGGGTAAATGGATGAATATCTTGCGACACCTTATCCACTAAGTTCCATAATTCAGTTAATAATCGCAATTCCTTCAGGCTGACTCTAAATGTCTTGCCTACCCAACAAGGCTGTGTTAATAATGGGTCGAACTATACACAATTACATGCCTAGCAACAGTTGCTCCTAAAAAGTAAATAAACCTTTTGTCTTTATAGGGAAGCTCTTGTATTATTTTGTTAGTTGAAGCCCCCATTACAAAACCTTCATTATTCTTTTTTCTATTTTAGCATAATTCACATTATTTACAGAATCAGAAGACTGAAATAAAGGTTGGTTTTACAAACTCTGACAAAATGTTTTTACACAAATCTCTAATCACTGAATGTTGTTATACTTTTATCATTAATTATTATAATGGTAAAAATACAGTGTGTGTGTATATATCTTTATATATACAAGCGGCTAAAGTGTGTGCTGCCGATAGTTTACTGTTGCCACTCGGAAAAATGAGCACGGAAATTAATGTTTCCGCAGTTTTTAATTAATATCTCAGCCGATTAAAGTCGTACGAAGATGAAAATGGCATCGATGGATTCGGAGAATTTTTTGGAATCCGAGGATATGCATCTCGAATTTCAACTCGGTGCCGTTTCGTAGATATTCGGAAAAAAAAAAAAAAAAAAAGAATTTGGCACGTAGCCAAATCCCTCTAATAGGGAAAACCCAAAAAAGAAAGTGGAAAATGTAGAGAAAATGTAGGGGAAAATTAGTTTTTAACTAATATCTCGGCTAATTAATGTCCCAAGAAGACGCGAATGGCCATAATGTCGTGCCACGGACCTGTGGAATCCAACGGTGTGCTTCGCTAAGCCCGGGAGCCTGCCGTTTCAATTGAGACGTAGACAATTTCCTGTAAAACTTGCCTTTGCTATGACCATCCATAAGTCTCAGGGCAAATGCTTAAGCATGTTGGCATTTTTTTTACCTGAGCCTGAATTTGGACACGGTCAACTTATGTTGCCTGTTCAGAGTTCGTGAAAGAACGGACGTAAATTATTAAAATAATGGAGGTCCTCTGCAAGGCGAGCTTAAAAATGATGGAAAGATCTACACAAGAAATGTTGTGTACAAAAGATCTTTGACATGTAAATTAACATTTCATTATTTAAATCACCTTTATTTATTGAGCTAGCGGTAGCTCTTAAGAAATGTACCACCAGTGGTTTCCTTCATTGCACTCTACTTTAAGCAATTAAGCAAGTAGAAGGGGGAAATCCCTTCGGCAAAGGGGCGTCCTCACCGCCTGCCCTGGGTAATTCAGTTTGAATAGCAGACACCTTTACACAAATAATTTTAATTACAATTTATAATATCTAGAACAGCGGTCATTTCATATGACCGCCAGGCTTTCTACTATATATATATATGTGTGTGTGTGTGTGTTTCAATTTTTTTTTCCCCCTTATTTTAGCAATATGCAGCAGTTAGAATTGTTTAAATTTTAATGTAGGATTCTGTTTCTCTATAAAGGTCTGACAGGACAGCAAATATTAAGACACATGCTATTTTAGGCGTGCACGAATGCTTATATCTTTGAAACTACAAATGTTGCAATCAATCTAAACACATCATTAGATAGATGAAAAAGCACAATAGCAAACACACACAAAAACAAATTTAAGTTGGACAAAGGGTATATGCATAGTAATATAGTGTGTTCGGATGGTGTTTGCTGTATTTCGATTTATTTCACCAAGCCAGTGGTGTTGGGATTTATAGAAATTTGATGAGCGTAGCAGATTGTGTACCAAGAGAATTTACCCTTTAGCAGCAAAAGAGGATAGAGGATCCAGAAGCAGCCAATATTTGTATGGTTGATGTAACTGTTAATGGACAATCAAGATGTGCTCTAGCATCCATATATATACATCAAACTGATAATTTAGGAGATTTGAAGATGTTTATTGCATTGATGAAATATTCTGTGACTATTTATTGATGAAATATTCTGTGATGGATAAAGAGTTTACTGCATATACATATGTTCCTGTTATTACGATGGAAGATTTCAATGGAGACGTCAAGTGAAATGAAAAGACATTTGATTTTATGAAATATCATTTAAATGTCAATATTGTGCCCAGTAACTATCCTCCAAGTACACTTAGCAATCCATTTATGGATTTAACATTTTTCAGGAATATAACTGCAGACATCTTGAATTATGCATCTTATATCATCAACCAATTTCGCATAGGGTGATTTTGAATGAATAAATGTAATATATAAGAAATAAAATGAAATATATGTGTGTGTAAAATCTTTTGTTTATTTTACTTGTTCTATAACATTCTTATATTTCCATTAGTAATCTATGCATTTAACACCAGTGGGTCTTTAAATTCAAAGATTAAATTAAAAGAGAACCTACTGGAAATTCCTCCCCCCTAGAACTCTTTTGAAGACACTAAGAAATATCAACAATGCATGCATCTACATTTACTGAAAAAGGGCTTTTCAGCAGCTAAATTTAAAATGCCTAATCAGCCTATTCAGCAGCTAAATTTACCATTATACATGCATTGTCTACACCAAAAGTCAAAAAATTATCCAAAGAACTCCAATTTCCTAGAAAGTGTTAAAACTGTGCTATATTAAATCCTGTGCCTTTTAAAAGTGGGAACACTAAGTAACTACATTCTATTTCTGAAGATTCTGGAACTCCACTTTCCATTAACACATACCTTTAGCTAAAGAGGATATAGTTATTATATAACTCCACTTCATGGCCAATCAATATTATTTCCACCTATATCCTACAATCTAAATATATTGTGGATATCACATATTACTCATTAGTCTAACTCATTACCATCTAAATATTATTCATACTCAATAACTGAATAATTATAAATGGAGACTTTCAGACACAATATTGCAACATTAATACACTGCTTTGCCACTTCTGCCAATTTTTAAGTTGCTGCTCAAAATACCCCAATATACTCTCAAGATACCATCAATAAGGAGGATATAATTTTATATCTGTATTTCTACTTCCATCTACAGAAAGGCAGCAGTTGACTGTGGATTTTATTCTTACACAAGTACTTCTTAGCAATCCAGCATAATAGGTATTCAATAACAAATTGTGTTTGACTAGACATAAAATGCTCTGATATAATTAATATTTTGATACAATAATGAATGTTAATACATAAGCTGTTGATAAATTTTTTGAAAGATCTTGATTAAGCAAATAACTGAAACTGATCAAGTATTTAAAAAAATATTTGGTAACAGCTTTACACTGAAACATAAACTGTTTGCTCCAGTCAGGACTTTTAGAAGCTCAAAATAGTACTTTTAAAACATTTCAGATAAAAGACTAATGCATTTCAAAGAAACTTATTCTCATGTTTTAGCACAAAAACAAAGTAAGAATCTTAAAATTATAATACTTAAGAGTAAACTATCAAACAATACACATCATTTGTGACAAAGCAAAAATCTGACAATCACTACTCTCTAAAGAAAAAGCAATGTTACATATTAGCTAATAAAGATATTCTTCAAAGGGAATTTCAAAAATTAAATCTATAATTTTATGAACAAGAATTTAATTTTTTACAAAAAGCAAAAAATATAATATTAAGTTTTTCCTGAGACAAGCAACATTGCACAAAATAAAAATGTATAATTTTTTATGTAAGTCATTCACCATGTAAAGAAATGGAAATTTGTTGTAATCATAGAAAATGAAGTCGAAGAGAAAACTTAGATGCAGATGGATAGCTAAAAGAAAGGGCTATTGAGACACTTAAAAATAATATACATATCTTATACTACTACTTCACTGCATTAAAACCATTCAAAAATGTATAAACATCTCCTGTATTTAGAACAGCTAAAAAATATCATTTATTGATGCAGTAATGAGCTGCGTGTAATGTGATATTTACCAGATGTTGAAAAATGTCGGTCAGGAAAGTCCCAGATAGGAGTGGTGTCTTTCTTACGTTGTTCATTGACTTGTGTGGACCAACTGTTTTTAAATTTTCGGCTTTTTTCGGAAGTTTTATTGCCCCTTTTGGAAGCCTAAAATTGATAATATGAACAAAAAACATTTTATACAATTTTGATATAGTATCAGAAAAATAATACAGAAAATTCAGCCATTTAACAAAAATAATTCTTCTGTCTCAAATATTTACAAATATAAACTCTTTCAACAGTAAAATTTTGAAAAAAACTCAGTACCACAAAATTTATATTAACTTATTAAATGCAAGTTAAAATTTCTTACGAGTTCACTAATTTAAAAAGCTTAATTTTCAGCATATATGTTAAGTAACATTTGTTTCATTTAGAAAGCAGGCAAAAAATTTGCGAAGTCCAGCATACGTAAGAAATTATAGCCAAATTTGTATACTTTTTTGACGATTAATAATTGGGTACTATTTTCCCACTGGGCATGAAAGTTGACAAAGATATTGAAAAATCTATTCCAACAATTGCGGTGAAAGTTTGAAACAACAAATCGCTCTGTAATGAATTAAATAATCATAGATTGGCCTTAAAACAGATAAAATAATTTAAACATATGTAGGAAAACAGAAATGATAGCTGATAATGTCACAGTATTTAGGAACAGTCCTCTTCCAACAGTCTGTAATTTAATCCTACATTGGAAAATACAAAGAGGAAAAAATGTCTGTCTGAAAATGCAGCAAGCTGATCAATGTTCACATTTACAAAGTGTTAAGTGTTGCCATACTTTCCAGATGATGAAATATCCAAATTTGTGCTGGATATCTTTGTCTGTAAAAATTGTTACTGCCTGGAGTAATAAAAAAGGTTACAAATTTTTGTTTATTTTTTTCGTGGTATGTTTATTCACGAAGTTTTATGAACTGCTAATGCTATAAAATTAAATACACTGTATTCAAATACACTGGAAAATATTGGTTTGATTTTTGCTTTGAAGCTATAGATGGCAACAATTTGTAAAGCAATTTAAAATGGAATCTTAAGTTTTAAAACTTTTATTTTAGAAAACAAGTAAGCTGTTATTTTTATATATTTAAAATTATGAATTTTAAGATTCCAATAATACAATCAATAGAATGTTATAGGCCTTACTATTATGATCTAATTTTATGATTCGTAGTTTGAAATTACTTTTAAGATATTCTGAAATGAATGATCTTTAAAGCATGAGTTGCCTACTTTAGTTATTATTTCCAGCATTAGCAGCAATATTAGCATCTTGATTAATGCGATTCAGAAAAGGGAAGAGAAGAAAAATGTGTGTGGCATGGACACGCTCAGCTGATCAATGTTTATGCTTACAAGTGATGTCTCCAAAAATGAGATTAATTCAAAACAGTCACAGAGATCACTAAGCAGTCAAAGAATTTCAATTCTGTCCACAAACTTCATGAATTAATATCTACAATTAACAGTCAAAACAGTTTAGCTCCCTATATGCACCAGTTAATAATAATTGTTACTTACTATTTTTTTTATCAGTTACCCATTATTTTGCAGAAGAAAATGAGCACAGGTAAGCAGAAGGTGATAGCAAGCATAAGTTTATTGAAATACACAGAAAATTTATTCTTATTAATTGTAGATCCTTCAGAAAGCTGTTGAGAATTCTTTGTGAAAGCTCACTTTCTGATAATAGAAGACATAAATAATCTTATTAGGTATTATTGAAAATATTAGAATGAATAGTTCTATTCAATAAATCAAGCTATATCAGTTATGTAGTCTCTAACTAACAATATGAGAAAATTGACTTTCCTTGACTAGGACATAACATAAATATGTTAGGCTCCAAACATATTTAATGCTGAAAAAAATATTTATGGCGATAACATATTTATTATTATTTGTCTTTAAATGGCATTAGTAGTTTCAGAGAATATACTGAAGGCAATACATAAATAGATTATCAACTACGTGAAGCTCTCATCACTAATAGAAAATATGATCTAAAAAACTGCAGAAAAACAAGGTTATACTCAATATATTTTTTAATATTAAGAATATTGTTCTTCTTGAACTCAACTTTGGTTTATTAAGTCCTAGATGCTGTTATATTCCCATCCACTGGTCACTCCTTACTTGAATTTGAAACAAATATAGGACCTCTTGTCCTTCTATATATCTTACATTCAACTGATCTCATATAAATAGATAGCTCTTTACCTTTTTCCTGAATTTTTGCATCTACTGTAGGACTGTCAATTTTCCAGCACAAAACTGATGGGAAAATGCAGCACTAGTTAAAACTGAAAATCATTTTGAATGGTTTCTGAATGGGTTTCAGAAACATCAACAAATGTTAGGAGAAGAAAAAAGTGTCATTATATAGGTATAATACAATATTTCCTTGCTAAAGTGAGCACCACATAATCTTTTGCCGATATATGACATTTGCAAGTTATAAAAAGGTGAATTTAATTTGCCAACTTTGATGTCTAAGCATGGTGACTGCTTTCACAAGGAAGTACCAGCATTACTATAGAAGCAGATGCATTTTAGTCCCACTTTGTATGACATTAAAATATATCTACATAAACCTAATATTTAAGCATTTTAAGAAAAATATAAAATAATAAATTTACCAAAGAATTTTGGTTGTGACGTTGATGTTTGGATTGAACTGTTTGCCAAGAATTCTGGTGGTCCTCATTCTTCCATTCCTTGTTTACTTTATTTGTTTCTACCTGGACAGAAGGTAAAAAAAATATTAAATACATTAGAATATTTTTAGTTTATACTGCACAGTACAGAGGTACACGTAATCCTGACAAAATCTGTTTTAAATACATCAGAATTACATATTAACAAATTCTGCTGCAAAGAAAATGACATTAAATACTTCTATTACATAATTTAGTGACGTGATTACAAATTTGCTTTAGTCTCTACTACTACGAATAAATATATCACTTACTAAATAATGCACCCTTTTTTTTAGAAAAGACACAGTTTGAAGTTTTACATTTAATATATTGCTACGGATTTGGTATTTAAATAGCTTATGTTAGTTGAATTGTAAATTAAATGGTTTTATTTCCCTCGCAGTGCAGTGCGTGACGAATATTTAAAAGAAAGCTAAGCCGGAAAATTGAAAATACAAGAGCGCGTGCATTTAACATTTAATAAATATCTCTTTTTGATTTCGAGAAAGTACTACAAAATTCTCGCGCGCGATTTTAAAAATCTTATAAAAGGAGGAAAACCTCTCAGTTCGTAGTAGTTACTTAGTTTGTTGTTGTTTAGAAAACTGCTGTTGTTGACTGTAGCGAATTCGAGGATTAGCTTTCTTTAGCTGTTTTGAATTTAAGTTCTCTTGAACGTTTGAGTAGTTAAAAGATAACTACTGCGAGATATGTAGCTGCAGTTTGAGCAAACACAATAAAAATGAATATTTCCCCAACTTTCCTGCAGAAAGTGTGTAAAATGATATAAAATTCTACTTTTATAGAAACTTACTGCTAAGCCTTTGCCATTATTATTTAAGCAAAATCTACAGTATTGCTTTTTCTAGAAGTTCAGCACCTCCTAGACTCAGACATCTCCCACCAACTGACAATATTTTATACCCCCTTTAAACAATATAATTGTGTATTCTGGAGCAACTGTTGCTGCAGCATGCAAACACTAAACTCAACATACAATGAATGTATTACACCTATGATTACCCATAAAATGATCTATTATTTTATAAATTAAAAAAGCACTGAACTAAATATATATCCTTGTGTATTTTATTCACATTTTATTTTCAGTTACATTCCACTGAAATTGAATATGAAATGGTGCAATAAAACTTCTCTTGGCAACTTCATCTAAAAGTGATGAGTATTTCTGTATGTATAAAAAAAATACTGATATTGATTATTAATACTTATATTCTCTAATGTTCCAAAATTCCTTACATTCTCTAATATTTCCAATGTCCTCTAATGTTTTTCTGTCCAAAGCATCACACCATGTGCAGGGCCACTATGCCGATATTAAATGCAAGCTGGCGATGTGTGATCTCCTTGAACACTCCAGACACGTATACGACAATCAGAATACAGCACGTAGAACCAGGACTCATTTGAAAAGGCGACATAGTGCCACTCTTGTACCCAGCTTTGTCGTTTTTAGCACAGCAGAGTCGCCATCTCTGTCTATGCTGCATTGTCAAGAGAAACCCACGTAATGGTCACACTGCTGATAGTCCACACTGCTGCAAATGTCAATGCACCTTACGAGCTGATACTGGGCGTGCTGCAAACATGCCCATTTACTGTCTAACGGTCCGTGATGTGGTCGTACGGTTTTGCAGGGTTGACCTCATATTATGTCTGTCCTCTCTGGTGTTAGTAATGGGAGGGTGTTGAGGTCCTGCATGCCATTCAGTATAACTCTCAGCAATCCACTGATACCATATTCGCATGACAGTGGTTGAATGTCAACAAGTGCGACCAGCGATATCACAGAACAATAATCTACACTTTCGATAGGCAGCAATCCTACCTCTATGGAATTTCAAAACTTGCTGGTAAACATTTCCACTCATTCAAGGCATAACACAACATTTTGAGCAAACTCAAACCTTATGAAGTACTTTACAAATGAGAAATCCATTACACAAATTTACTTTTATGCAGTGCTTCAAATGTCGTTTCTCCCTCCTGCATCATCTAAATGTGATGAAATACATTTGCATATCCCAACTTCTTCCTTTCATGTGAATTTGACATTCGTCAGATCATTCCTTCCTGTAATTTTAATGGCCAGTAGTGTGTGTGTGTGTGTACATATATAATTACATATATATATCAATATATATATATATATATACACACACACATATACATAAGATATAAAAATATATAGGAAAATTATTAACAAATTACTAACATAATACACAATAGCACTTTAAATTCCCAATTTCAATTTAAATACATCCCCTTTCCCTCTCTGTCATCTGCAGTCACCCATACTGCAAAAACTCTTGCCCAGCTACTATCGAGAACTCAAGCAAAGAATTTCCAAGCTATAAACATTCCAGGTGCATTGTGTGCCTTCTCTTTCTATGATTCCTCCTGCTTAACTAATGCACATCTGTTTGCCAATCTGCAGTATCCAGCATTGTTCTAAAATGTAATTAGATATACAAAATTGTGGACCATGTTTAGCTCCATTAGTGTTCTACCAATCAATGGAAAAAATGTACTTCTAAATAACTGCTCCAGTTCATAAATAAAAATGGATATTTAAATGATGGCTACAGTTGATTGCAAATGCAATCAATATTATTATGCTATTATACATTGTAACACCATCACCATTCCACTTACTGCTAAATTGATTGCAGGTCTTCTTTCATCATACCACCTAAAATCATTATATGACAAATGCAAAAAATATTTGCTATCTTAATAAGTGTAATTTTATATTAACTAAAGTAAAAATTATACAGTAAAATAAATAGCAGTGCACAAATACTAATTCCATTACGATCCTATTTTAAATTTATTAAAATTTGAAACCCCGGCTCCAGATTTTATTCATTGCACCTAATAAAATATCCGTCCGCAGTTGCTCAGTAACAAGTACATCAAACGTATTTTTTAAGACACAAAATACCTCATTTTATAAACCTTAATGTGTATGATTTTATCATATTTCTTTGTATATAATTTTTTTAATCCTTTGTTGATGAGAGAGATGCTTTACTTAACTATGGACTATTTACTTCAGATTGACACTATTAACATAATTTATTTTGGATAATAGAATAAACAAATAAAAGTTAACAAGTACCTTTCTCTCATCCCACACATCATCCCAAGTATTATCATTCAATGGAGGATTTACAGCAGGACTTTCATCCCATATGTCATCATAAAATGGTTCTAAAGATGCTGAAGAACTTTTAGGTTCACTGCTTTTACCAGATGATCCTGCAGAATTCTAGAATGACGAAAATTTATTCTTGAAATGTATAATAGAAAAATTTAGTAAATGGAGCAAAATATATCACAAATTTGCAAAAATAATGGCAAATAACTGTTAACTATATACGGTTATTTGCTAAGCAAATACATAAGCCATGCAACTAAAATCCAACAGGAAATTTTAAAAAAAAAAAAAAAAAAAAAAAGGAAAGAAACTAAATCTCATACCTCTAAAGTATACTGTTTATTTACAATCTAATAAATTATCAAATGATGACAAATATCAATAAATTCAGAAATCAAAGTTTACTCCTGCAGAACTGATATAAAGTTGCTGTTGTTGCTAATCCTCAGTTGTCTGACCTATAGTCAGCTCAAGCCCACGAAATTCCTTGTAGCAATGAGAGCAAATTTAAGCCTGTCGTTGGCAACAGCCTTGAACACCTTACGGGTTATAGTGTGATTTAGCTCATTTATGCCCCCCCCCAATTTTGAAGCAGAGCACCCCATGGGTCTCCTACCTTTCTTTCCCTACCATCAACCTCTCGAGAGAACTTTTGGCTCATCATACATTTAGAATGCCCCCATGCCGCACGGACACTATGCATTACAAATATCCATGCCTTTTCCGGGATTCAAACCCGGGCCCTTTGGCACGGCAGTCAGCGATGCTAACCACTATACTACCTGATATAAAATTATGCTGTTGAACACAAATGTTAAATACATACAAAAAAAATTCTCTTTTCTTCCCTAAAAAATCTTAAAGAAGATTGTAAAATTTTAGCAAATAACATAATTTAAAAGGTTAAGCATCTTTCAAACATTTAAAACTATTTTTAACAATACCACATCATTATTTTTTTAACACAGATAGAATACGTCCAATTACTGTTGCCAGGAAGAATATTCCAATAATGGAATCCATGATAAATAATGTATATAAAATGGGTGATCATTGCCAAGACTGGATATTCCATCTCTGTAAATTTACACAAATTTACATAGCAGGTTGAAAAAAAAAAAAAAAAAGAGTACATACATACAATTATTTTCTTTTTCTTTATATATATATATAAATTTATGTATAGTTGTCGGGAGAAATTATTTCTTTCTTCATATAAAACTGCATTGCAACAGATAAAAATTTAGATTTTCCTAATGAATTTTATTAATTTCTCAAAATTAGGACTTTAAGACTTTTTTATAAGAATTTCAACAGTTTACAATATTTTTTCTATTCCTTTTATGGTGTCTTATCTCATTTGTCTGACAGTAATATCAAAACAAGTCCATGAAATTCATCGTGGCAAGCGGTACAAGATTGTGCCTGTCACTGGCAAGAGCACTGAGCACAATACAGGTGACAAAATGATTTTACTCAGTTCTGCCCTAATTTTGAAGGAGAGCACCCGGGGAGGGGGGGAGGGGTTCAAAGGTCTCTCATTCCTCTTCCTCTACAAACTACATCTCAAAAGGATTTTTAGCTCACTGCATATTTCGAATGCCTCCATGCCACACAGACACTATACATTTACAAACATCCATGCCTTTTCCTCAATTCGAATCCGGGCCCTTCGGTATCGCAGTAGGCTCCCCAAACCACTATACCATCTAGGCGGCCTTTTGATGGTAAATTCCTTTGTCATTATCATTGAATTGAGAACTTTAAGCCCATTCTATCTTACGATTAATTAGATCTTCATGCTTTTTCCCATAATAAACTTGTTTGAAAACACTAAACAGTTAAAGGTCCCAAATAAATTCAATGCTTTTATTTTTATGCTGATTAGACTAAGAGGAATTATCTTTAGGTTACAATCTTCTATTTACATTGACAACACCATTTCCATTTTAATCATAAGATGGCTTCTATTTCTCCTAATTTGGGATTCAGATAAAGTCAATGTACTTGTTTCTAAAATTTTATATTTTGCCACGTGGTCTAAAAATATGACAAATAACTTATTCATTTAGATTACACTTTCTCACAATTTTTGCTTTGGTTATCTCTCTTTTTTACTTAGTGATGCAATTTATCAGTTGATTACTCTATACATCTTCTTTAGATCATCTTTGCTTCTTTAATATTCATGGTAGGGTAAATAAAAAAGAAAGAAATAGCCATATGTAATTCAGCAAAGGTAAACAGTTATTGGTAAGTAGTGAGCATATGCCATAAAATAAAAATAAAATAATTTCAAAGTACAAATTTTCAAATATAAAAGTAACCCAAATCCACTAGGAAACATAAACAAAATACTTTAGACAAAACACATAAGATACAGATCTTTTCCTCGAAAGAGCTATAACCGTACATACAGTCAACTCCTGATTAACACTCTAGCTGATCATCCCGCGATTTCCACGGGCAACTCAAATGTAGCAAAATTTGCTCATGTTTTTCTTCCTTTACTGAGGAGCGCATCCCATTTTTTCCCCGTTGAACCATTGAAATAAATTATATACAGTTTAGGCATTAAGGTTATGTTTTGGCCAACAGATATTAGTTGTTCACTAAATTGCAACATTTGAAGGCACATGGTATTACCACTCAAACTTCATTTTTTGCCACATTTTTCTTACAGAAATGGCTACTAGAAAACGTTCTGAGATTATCTTGATTATTTAAATAAATTATTGAATTTTTAAATAGATTTATTGATTAGATTAATAATTAGATTTATTGAATCTGATGCAAATACTGTGAAGTTGGACTTTGCCTTGAAACTTGTTTTGAACTCTATCATACTAAACTGCATTTCTAAGGTATTTTCCCCTCAGCGCTTTATATTTTCTTAAATTTTATACATTTTACTTTTTTATATTATGCAATAAATAGAAATTAACTGTAATTTGATTGATATTTATTTTAAAAAAAAATTTTTTTTGGCGATAACATCTGAAATTGTTTTTTCTGGCAACTTAGTTTCTCATGATAAAAATCTATATAAAAAATATTTTCTAGAAGGAAAAAGTGCATTTTTCAATTCTCCAATATATATATATAGATTTAAAATATGCAATAAAAAAAATACACAATTTTGGAAGTGATTTTGGTAAATAAATTGAGCAGTCAGAGGGTTAAACCAAGGCAGATCAATGGTCTTGTCTAAAAAAAAAGGGTACTTTTCCGTTTTGCCAGCACATGCAATAAAATTGTCAATAATGGTAACTGATGCCAAACGGAATAGCCTCACTTTTATGCCTCATTTTCAAAACAAGTCACAGACATTTCTTATCAGATTGACTGTTTCTTTCAATACTGGCATATAAATTACATAGAATTTTTACCACATAGTTCAATTTTATGCCCTAAGGAAATTAGTGGTAAGTCAATTAGGATGCAATCACACCGCTCACTCGAAGGCGAAAATATAGAAAAGGCAAAATCAAGGGTTAAATTCATCAATTCTAATGAGAATGCACTAGCGAAGTAAAGCACAGCGGTTTTACATAATTTCTGAGTAAGCTATTTGTACGAATTGAAATAATTCTTACACTTGTATTCCAAATTAAGATTTAACTTGAAATTAATGTAGATAATTAAGATTTTTGTAGTGCAGTTTACGTGAAATGAGATCACTTAGGGTCATGTGTTATAAACCGGCAAATCAGGATGTTGAACCATGAAAGCATAGTAAATTCTTAAATTAATGTATTTTTACAAATTTATTGTCTTTATGTATTAGCTTTTTACAAAATTTTAAATGATATTAAAGTGTTTATGCCTTCAAAATAAAAAATTCCTAGAACTAACATTTGTTAACATTTTTCATGTGTATACTGTATGTTGTCCCCAATAAAGCCTGCTTGGCGAGATTTGCACCGGCGAAATGGAAAGGTACCAAAAAAAGTTTGTTTTTATTGCAGAACAATACAAAAACTACATTCAAAAATCATCAGAATAAAGCAAAATTTCTACAGAAAGTACCAAAAGGAAAAGGAAATGCATAGGATAATTACAGTGATAGCAGATGATGTCACAGTATTCAGGAACTGCTTTTAGGCACAGTAGTATGCAATTTAATTGTACAAAAACTAGAATATATAAAATATTGTTAAATCATCTGTTAAAATTAAATTTCCCAAGAATACAGCTATAACCTTTTATTTCCGATTAACTCCTATCAAAATCCAAGAATAAAGCAATTGAATACAGTAGTATGTTTCAAAGTGCATTCTTGTTTTGAATGCTGATTTAATTTATGTAAAAAAATGAGCATATTCATCAGGTTAAACTTCTTGAAAGTAATGGTAAACTGCTAACAGAATTTGTTCTGTTAATTATAATATGACTCTTTTCTGCGATTTATTTAATTGTGATTGGACTAACCACGATTTGAGATTAATTAAGGACACTGCCTCTGGTATTACCCCAATTAATTGGAGTATAATGCACAGTCAAGTTAGTAATGACTTTTCAAAGTATTCGGAGATACTATAAGACTTAACTTGTCGTATTTGGGAATTTTGTTATTTCATTATAATCAGAAATGCAATTAGAGAAAAAGAATCAAATTAAAAGTCTACCTTTGACACAGAACTTGATGAATTATTTGATTTCCCTCTAGTTGATTTATCATTCAACAAAAAAGGAACTTGATCAATTAAATTACTCGTTTTAACTTTTTCAACTTCTTGTCTTTTTTTAGCTTCTCTTTCTTGTTTTTTCTTTTCCCTTTCTGCATCTAGCCTTAACTTTTCTTCCACTTCATCACGAAGTGACCAACTCCTCACGCCTCTTTTGGTATCTTGAGCCATTTTTATTGCACTTGTGTATGTAAAATGTATGTCCAGCAATCATGAATAATTAAGATAATCTAAAAACAGAAAAATTATAAGACTTTAAAGGAATACTAATGCAGATAATATCTGCAACACATAATGTTATCTAAAAAGAAACATCCAAAAAACATGATAAAAATAAGAAATTAAACTTAGTACAGATACAGGGGTTGGACAAAAAAATGGAAACACCTTTAAAAAAACATGTTTCTTTGCTTAATATGGTGAAGGAAACCCGTTGGCATCCAAAACAGCTTGCAGTCTTCTCGGAATGGATAAATACAGTTCCTGTTTGTTTGCCAAGGGAATATTATACCATTCTTCCTGCAAAACGGTGGCAAGTTCAGATAACGATGTTGGCGGTGGATAACGAGAACGCACTTTCCGTTCCAATGTAGACCACAAAGGTTCGATAATATTCAGGTCTGGTGACTGTGGTGGCCAGGGGAGATGGGACAACTCATCCTCGTGCTCAGAAAACCAGTCCTGGACAATGTGAGCTGTGTGAACAGGGGCTTTGTCGTCTTGGAAGACACTGTGGCGTTCCGACAGATACTTCAACTTCTATTCATGAGATGGCGCCACGTGTAAAATCCAGTTCTTAATCGGAGCAGCAAAGCGACATCTTTACTCACTCAGACTTCTCGTCGGACAAGGTACGCGACGCTAGCACGAACTGTGTTCCGAGCTCTGTGTTGATCTCTGCAATGTAATTTAAATTGTAATTTAGTATTTAATATATTCTTTTGTTATAGGAGATTGTCTACTCTTATTTCCCTTTAGTTATATCATGCATTAAGCACACACGACCACCAAAAGTGGTGACCTTTTGACTGAGCACGCTACTGACAATGGATTTTCAACGACCCTAAGCCACGTGCATCCAAGGCATTCTGAAGAACTGACTAAAAATAACAACGAATATGGACATTAAACGTATGCTACAACGTACCCCTTCAATTATTTCTAGATGTATTGATATATATTGCTTGTGTTTTTTTCAAAGTCGTGCATATCATCGCAAGGAGCTTCAGCAAATCATCAATGTGATCTGTTCCGTTCCGCTGACTTCGCCAGTCGTGCAATAATTCTTCGATCATTCAACGACAAATGTGCTACAACAGTGATTTTCGCTAAATGTGCCACATCAGTAATTTTTGTGCAACGTGCTACGGCAAAATTCTTCCCTCAGTGTTCGAAAGTAGTGAATTTTTTTCCCATGTGCTACAGGAGTGATTTCCTTTTTCCTTCGAAAGTGCCTTAGCAGTGTGAAGTGGTGATTTTGTGTGTGCGCAATACAAAATGAACGCATCATTTTTTTTTCTCAAGTAAGGGTTTCTTTTCAAATGCATTTCGGTAAAATATTATTTGTGTGTGTAATTGCTGACCCTGTATTATTTGTGTGTGTATCATTACGTAAATTTTTTATGCATGGTTAAAATATTTATTGTTATGGCAAAATATCAATAGTGTATCATCTTGCTACAATATTTGTGCTGATAAGTGTTTATTAATTAAAGTGAAAATTATCTATCAGTATGCCCGACGATATTCCACCAGAGCCACAAATCACACGCGTTGCGGTGAAGCCACCGCCTTTCTGGAAAAATAATCCTTCATTGTGGTTCGCTCAGATCGAAGCACAATTTTCTATCGCTCGCATTAGTGAGGATTCTACAAAATTCAACCATGTAGTTGCAGCAATTGAGTCTGATATTCTGAATTCAGTGCATGACTTAATTCTCAAACCACCTGATTGTGATAAATACTCCAAACTGAAACAGCGGCTCATTGAAATCTATTCAGAAAGTGAATCTTCAAAAACACGTACTTTACTACAAGGACTTGAACTTGGAGATCAGCGACCTTCATACTTGCTGTCACGAATGCGTGATCTGGCAGGAAGCCATTTTAGTGACGACTTGTTGAAGTCACTATGGCTTTCGCGTCTCCCTAATAACATACAAATAATTCTTGCTGCTTCCAATGAAGATCTAACCCGTTTAGCAGCAACGGCTGACAAAATTAATGAACTTGTTACTCCAGCTTATGTCAGTGCTGCTAATGCTGCACCTTCCAGTTCATCCCTCGAACAACAAGTGGCTGAATTGACCAAAAAAGTATCTGAACTCTCTACAAGTCTTCATGCTTCACGGAGATACAATCGATCAAATCAGGGCCCACGTAATAAATTTCGTGCCCGAAGCAGGAGTCCATCTCGTTTTAATACTCGAACGCAGTACAAAGAACCCACAAGTGGCATATGTTTTTATCATATGAATTTTGGCTCCCAAGCTCGCAAGTGTGCCCCTCCATGCACTTTTGAACAAGCGGGAAACTAAATGGGCGGTCTTCTGCTGGCCAACAGAATGTCCGCCACATCGACAGAATAGTACTGGCTGATTGTTCAACTCAGTTATGTTTTCTAGTAGATACTGGAGCTGACATATCAGTGCTCCCGAGAACTAAAACAAATGCTCACCAACTTAATAAACTTGTACTGTATGCAGCCAATGGTACCCAAATTGCAACCTACGGCACCAAACTATTGACACTTGATAAACTTGCGCCGGACTTTCAACTGGCTTTTTATTATTGCTGATGTAACTGAAGCAATTATTGGTGTCGACTTCTTGACACATTTCCACCTTCTAGTGAATGTCAAGAATAATTGCTTAATTGATGCTACAACTCAGCTGACATCACAGGGCCAAGCTTCTCACGTATCAAACGTACCTACCAACATAAGTGTTTTATCGGGCAGCACACGGTTTCATCGGTTATTAGCAGAATTCCCTGACATTTTAAACCCATCCAAATCAGGGCACCATACTCATCAGCCAGAAGTGTATCATCACATTGAAACACATGGCCCACCTGTATTTTCCAAGCCTCGTCGTCTTTCTCCAGAGATGCTAAAAGCTGCTCGCAAAGAATTTGAATTCATGCTAGCACATGGAACCATTCGCCCATCTAAAAGTCCATGGGCCAGTCCACTTCACATGGTTAAAAAGTCTAATGGTGACTGGCGGCCTTGTGGAGATTATCGTCGACTTAATGCCGTCACAGTCCCTGACAGATATCCAGTCCCACATATCCAAGACTGTACCCATCTTTTTTCATGGAACAAACATATTTTTCTACCCTCGATCTTGCCAGAGCATATCATCAGATCCCAGTGCATGCTGAAGATGTGCCCAAGACCGCAGTGACTACACCATTTGGTTCTCTTTGAGTACTTATATATGCCATTTTGGCCTTCGCAATGCTGGGCCAAACATTTCAGCGTTTCATACACCAAGTACTGTCTGGTCTCGATTTCTGCATTCCATATTTTGATGATATCCTGGTTGCATCTACAGATGCGGAAGAACATTTTCAACATCTGCGTCAGATTTTCACTCGCCTTAAAGATCATGGATTAAAACTAAATCCATCCAAATGTGTACTACTTGGTCAACCCTCAGTTTCCTTTCTTGGATGTCTATCACCCAGAATGGAGTCAAACCTTTACCGGAAAGAGTCAAAGCAATTAACGACCTACCTCAGCCCACCCAAACCATCTCTGAACTGAAGCGTTTTCTAGCAATGTTAAATTTCTACCGACGCTTTCTGCCAAATGCCGCAAAAACACAAGCCTGCCTACATGAGTTTCTGAAGAATAGCAAAAAAAAACGATCAACGAGCTGTCCCTTGGACTGAATTTGCATCTGCAGCATTCGTGCAATGCAAACACGATCTGGCAAATGCAGCCACACTTTCTTATCACTCACCTAGTGATCAGCTCTCTATAATGGTAGATGCATCTGACATGGCCATAGGAGCAGTGCTTCAAGCCCATACCACTAAAGGACTTTCCCCAATGGCATTCTTTCCAGAAAACTCACTACTGCAGAAAGGAAATACAGCACATATGACAGAGAGCTACTTGCTGTGTACTGTGCTGTTAAATACTTCCGGCACAACTTGGAAGGACACGACTTCATCATTTCACCACCGATCATCGACCATTAACCTTCGCTTTTAGAAAAAACTCTGACTCATGTTTCTCCTCGTCAGCTTCGACATCTGGATTTCATCGCCCAGTTTAGTACAGATATCAGATATGTCTCTGGTACTGATAATTGTGTCGCTGATGCCTTGTCTCGCGTAAACAATATCAACCTCACTACCCCAGATTTCTCTGAAATTGCAAAAGCTCAATTGTATGATGAGGAACTCAAGAACCTAATCTCAAATCCACAAACCTCCCTTCAGTTACAACCGCTGCACATTGATCCAACGCTTAAAATTTACTGTGACATAGATAACAATAGAATACGTCCCTATATTCCAGTAAATTTTAGACGTGAAGTGTTTAATGCCTTGCACAATTTGGCACATCCTGGAATCCGTGCCACCAAAAAGCTGATCGCAGACAGATTTGTCTGGCCAGCAATGAATCAAGACATCACAGAATGGACTCGTTCATGTATTAGATGTCAACGGTGTAAAGTATCCTGTCACACTCACAGCCCCATTCAACAATTTAACCTTCCAGCAAGACGTTTTGATCATGTGCACTTAGACTTGGTTGGCCCATTGCCTCCTTCAAATGGTTACACTTACCTCCTCACTTGTATTGATCGGTACACAAGATGGCCTGAAGCCATTCCTATTGAAAATATATCCGCTGAAACTGTAGCTCGAGCATTCATCTCCCAGTGGCTTTCAAGATTTGGCATGCCTACCACCATCACTACTGACCAAGGCCGACAATTTCAATGTCACTTGTTCGCATCACTCACCTCTCTTCTTGGCATTCGCCATATTCGCACAACACCATACCACCATCCATCTGGAAATCGGATGGTGGAACGCTTTCATTCACCGATCTCTCAAACAAGGTCTGAAGTGCCACAGTAGCACACACTGGACAGAAGCCTTACCCCTAGTCTTGCTTGGTCTTCGCGCAGCATTCAAAGAAGACATTGGTAGCACTTGTGCTGAAATGTTATATGGTGCAACCCTCCGTCTGCCAGGTGAATTCTTTCAC